CAACCACCGCAACGTTGACTTCAGAGGTGCAGATGTGGCCAGGGCTGACGGAGCAACTGAGGCCTTTGCCGGAGTTTCAATTCTTCACCTGTTTAGGCCTATAAGCCAGATAAACCCCAAGCCTAGCTGTTCCTATAAAAGGGATCCTTAAGGGGCCCTTTAAGGGATCTATAAGGGATCGAGAGGGTTTATAGGGTTTACCGGGACGATGGCTGTGGGCCTTCTGCAGGGGAGCAATGCAGGAAGCAGGGCTCCTGTGGCATCGGTTTCATGGTGTGGGGTTTAGGTTTTAGGGTTCATCTTAACCCTGAATAACCCACCATTTTTAGGCCCTATATATGGAAATCATAACAAGGAGCCCTAAAAAGGTAGGTTATTAAGGAAATCATAATGAGGAGCCCTTAAAAGGTAGGTTATTAAGGAAATCATAATGAGGAGCCCTTAAAAGGTAAGTTATTCAGGGTTAAGGCAACTCTTCGGCAAGAAGTTAGCCCTAGATCCGAAATTCCAAGCCTCTAAAGCTCGACCGGAAACACAAGGGACAAGGGTTTAGGGCTTAGGGGTTTAGGGTTTCGGGTTTAGGGTTTTAATTGGGTTTAGGGTTTAGGGGTTTAGGGTTTAGGGTTTTAGGGTTTAGGGTTTAAAGGTTTAGGGTACAACACCCCAAGCCTTCTGACCCTGAAATGTAATTTTCCTAAACCAAGGGTTTGATCCACTCATTGTGGAGGCTTCTCTACTTTGAGGTTCCTGGGTGGTTCTAAGCGTTTTTATATGTCCTTGAATATGGTTATAGTTGTAACTACCCTATACGGACTTATAAACGCACTTATAACTACCCGTGAACCTCCAAACATGAAGTCCGGGTGATGGCCACCGCTGCGAATGAAAGGCGTTGGACGACCGTCGTCCGTGCAGATGCCGATGAACGCAGGCACACCAGCTGACTTTGGGTTCAGGGTTTTGGGGTGAGGGTTGAGGGTGAAGGGTCAAGAGCACTTAAAGGATCATGGGACTTAGTAAGTAGGTTATAATTGGGGTTATAAGTCCCGTAAGTGGGTTTATCTTAATCGTAATAACTAAGTATAACCTATACTTATTATAACCTTACTTTCTACGTCCCATGATCCTCTAAGCAAAGGGGTGCAGGGTGCAGGGTCCCCCAGGGTTGAAGCAGTGGCCCACGGTTCTCAGGCATCAAGGACGACTTCTAGTGGCTGTAAGGTGCTTTTGGATCATAGCCTTGTGCTTGGGTGTCCTCTTTACCCATAGGCCCCATAGTCGTTCCGTTTGGGGGTTCATATTTAGAGTCCTATAAGATGATCCCAAAACGGAACTACTGTGTGGCCTATGTGTACCGGGGCTGTGCGATCAAGCCTGGCACTAGCTATTGGCATGTCTTAAAATCGGTAACGAGCAATAGCCGCAGTCTTGATCACAGACACAGGCACGCTGAGCATAATCAACATCACCACAGCATCTTGTTCATCGTCGTGTTAGATCACAAGCTTGAGGTACTTCCCGAGACAATATTGGACTTGGATCGACAATACGTGATAATGACATCTTGGGGTAGTACTTGGTATGGGGTGGGTCGTCATGGGGCGTTGCTTTCCAACCAGCAATGTTGAATACGTGGGCTTTAGTATTACGGAGAGGCGTTTAGGAGACACGGGCTCTACAAAAAAGACTTCGCACCACCAAAGCCTAAACCGCAAGACCTCCAAATCTAAACCCTAAAAACCTCAACCTCTACGCCCTAAACCCGAATAAGAATCCTTCTAGCACCCCTACAGATCCCTTCATGGTCGACCCCTAAACCCACACCCTCTGTGTGTGGAGCGCATCTGAGGCTCCGGAATCAGGAGCCGCCTTTCGCCCTGATCGAATCTTTCGGCTCGCTGGGCAAGCTCCTTTAATCAATGCCCCAAAAAGCACAAAAAGCAAAGATTAGGATTGTGATATCCCATACAAATCCCCTTATAAATGAAGCCAATCAAGAAGGGACATCCTTGTAAACTGCTTCTGCTTATGTGCTTCTTGCGGCTCCTTTGAGCAGCTTTAACGAAGGTTTGGGGTTCAGGGTTTACGGTTTAGGAAACCCTAAATCGCTAAACCCTCCCTAGATCCCCAATACCCAACCTTTAAACTTGTTGGGTTCTTTTGGTTTACTAGGAATCAGAAAGTTGAACCTTTCATTTCTGTGGCTTATTGGGGAAGTAAGCCTCAACCCTAAACCCTAAACCCTTAAACCGTCCGTGCAGGGAATCGATCGCAGGAAGGGGCTTGAAAGCTAAACCCGAAACCTTGGAATTGTAGTGAGTAGACTTATAAGTACCCTAAAGGGGACCCTAATTTGGGGTTATGGTACTAATAAGTCCCTAAAATAACCAGTTACTAAGTCCCCCGACCCTCCAAGTAAGGGTCCTTGCAACATCACCGACCCAGGTAAAGTGTTCACAGGGGTAGGGCGGAAGGGGGTAGGGGACTATACTTCCTTAAAATATTGTGTACTTTCAGTGTGCATACGGTATGCCCCAGAAAGTGGGGCTACAGGGTTCCTTCAACGGTTTTTTTAGGGTTTATAGGGTTTAGGGTAGTTATAGGTTACTAACAGTAACCCCCATAAAGTTGAGAACAAATGGTGTGGAAATTAGGGTGAAGGGATTAGGGCTTCATGGGTTTAGGGTTTAGGGTTTATAGGGTTTAGGCTTTTAGTAAGCCCCTTAAAGTTTGAAACCGGGTTAAGGCAAAATTCAAAAAGTGTTGGCCTGGGATTCCCTATACATTACTCTTAAGGATTGAGGCGAAGTTGGGTCTCCAACTTTTGGGCCTCTACCGTAGTTGGAGGACTTCGATGTGATGCAGGGTTTAGGGTTTAGGGTTTCTGACATTCTACCGCAGCCCCTGTCCTACACCCTAAACCCTAAGCCCTGCAACTTGAAGCCCTAAATCCTAAACCCTTCAACTTGGAGCCCTAAACCCTGAACCCTACACCCTAAACCCTACAACTTGAAAGTAACTTGAAGCCCTCTGAAGTTCCGGGGTTTAAAGACGACGATGAGCCTATGGATGGTGCAACACAGTACGTGGCTATCCCTAGATCCCAAAAGTAGCTCTTTCTTTCAGCCCCTTAGCAGCTGGGTAGGTAACCTTTAGCCTTTTGGGGTTTATATCATCCTACCATAATTCAAAAGGTGAACCTTGTTTCGGCTAGGGCCCTAAGTCCTTTGGACCACCTCAAATCAAAGCTTTATCAACTTTGGCGGCTTTGAACAGCAAGCCCAAAGTGCTTGGAGGATCCTGGGACTTTGTAAGTAAGGTTATGTGAACCCTATGTTGGTTTCTCATCAAGTTACCAGTATGGCTATATCATTTGTAACCCCTGTTGTTATGTTACTCTTAGGTCAATAATTGTTTATGGCGATGTTATTTGCAACCCAGCTTTTCCAGGTCCCACAACCCTTGGACTCCCCCATAGATCCCTGTCAGAACCCCTTCAAGGAGCCTGAGTTACTTATTCCCATGCCGATCCCTCTAAGGACCCCTAGTTAAGTAGCCCCATGATCCTTGAAGCCTTGAGCTACAAATGATCTCTTTTTCGATTGTGTTCGGCCCTAGACAGCCATAGAACCCATAGAGATCCGTTTAGTTACGGAGCTCTGGTTAAGTTACTAAGCCCCATGATCCTTCAAGTGTGGCTTCTCCGCCACTCTTGACTCAAAAGCCTGGGTTTCTCTCGGTGGGACTCGGAGTCTAAGACTGAAGTAGTTGTTGTTTTAGGGTTGAGGGTTAGATTTAGGATTTCGGGTTCAGGACCTGTTTAGGAGTTAGGTATTCAGGCTTAAGTTTTAAGGTTTAGGGTCTTAGTTGTTGCTTTAGGGTTGAGGGTGTGGGAATTAGCTCCCAGGGCTCAGAAGTTCGGTTTTCAGGTTTCAGCTTTAATGTTTAGGTTAGGTTTGGGGTTAAGGGTTTCGCTTATAGGCTAACGTAATCCCTGGCTTGACAAAAACGCGTCCTGGCGAGAGCCCCTGCTGACAAGTGCGGCTTGCGAGCAAAATTTCCTCACGCAAGGAAGGTTCAGCAGGTACTGAATTATTCATGGGACTTAGTAACTTACAGTGCTCCTGAAAAGCTTCCTGCAAGGGATCTATAAGGCATCTATAGTGTTATAGATAAGTTATAGACCTTAGAGGAGCATTGGACCTTGTAACCAAGGTTATGAGATGAGGGAACTGGCCTGGCAATCGCTTGCAGCCCCAAAGCATACGTAAACATACATGTACAACAAAATAAGACACACTATTAAGAGCCATCATCTTAATGATTCTCCTAAGAACTATAACAGAACTGCAGTGGTCATTTTGGCTAATGTATTAGCTGCACAAGTCAGTACAATGACAATTCAACATTTCAGAAATCTACTAGTTTAATAAGTGTAACCTTACTTCGTCCCACGAACCTCGAGGTATTTCGTAGGAACTGCAGCCGTGTACGTCTGGGGTAATCTTACGGGCTTGTGGGGGTACGCAAGGTTGAGCGTCTTGCGTAGGAGTTGGGGAAGTAGGCGTAAACCCTAGATCCTAAGCACAAGCCCTACACACGAAGCTCTAAACGCTTCAGTTAAGTCTTATCCTGTTTATACCCACAACAAAGTATCCAAACATGACTCTGAAGCCTACCCTCCATACCATCTTTCACCCAAACCTTAAGCCGAGACCCGAACCCCTCAAGACGCAGTCGATACCCTGGTTTCCTCCGCCTTGCCTTAATCATAGGGACCCTTGGGGGTAGGTGAGGGGGGGACAGGCGGCATTAATAAGGACCTAGTAAGCCCTATTTAAGGAAGTATAGTCCCCTACCCCCCTCATTATTGCCTCTTGTTTTTGTGTGCACGCCGTATCATAAAAACCCTTTCAAACCCTGTTTAAGCCGTATAGTGATGGAACCCTCTTAGAATAAAACCCTGTAAGACCCCTGAAGCAAGATCTCAATTTGCACAGGCTGCCATCGATGCCCAGGCAGCCCTGGACGTCTGGACCCCAGCTTCGAACAGCTTGCTTAGCCACGATTAGGGTCTGGGTGTAAGGAATAATTACCTAAACCTTCAAGAGGAAGTAGAATAATGGCCCAAGACCTATAAAGGGCTATTTTGGTGATTAATATGGCCATTACTGTACGTAACTTTGCGGTCCAGGTAGCGCCCTTCGGGTTTAGGTTTAGGTTCCGGGCTTCGGGTCACGTACTTCAGACTCAAGGAGAGCAACCGACCAGAAAGGTCTTCGAGGGCTTAGGGCTTTGGGCGTAGGGCTTGGGGCCTAGAGTTTAGGGTTTAGGGCTTTGGGTGAAAGGTGGCGTCGTTTGTGACAGTTGTACATGTCGGCTTGTTGTCGAAAGCATTCCGGCTAACGACGAAAGAAGCAACGCTCCAACCTGCAGCGATTTCAACAGACACACACACACACACACGCGCAAGTCAACAAGTTACAGGACCACCGCCAGCCAGCAACAGATGCAACAACGAAGGCCGTTGTCGCCGCTACTTGTACTACTACTGCTACTGCTCCTGCTCCTGCTACTGCTACTGCTGCTGCTGCTACGACGACGACGACGGCGACGACGGCGACCACGACTACGACTAAACTACCACGACGACGACGACGACGACTACTACTACTACTACTACTACTGCTGCTGCTGCTGCTACTACTATTACTGCTATTACTACTACTCCTACTGCTACCACGACTACTTCTTATTCCTCTTGAGATAAGACTTCGAGCTCCAAGCCGAAGGGCCCTAAGCCCTGAACACCAAGCTGAACCGCAAACGGAACTGAACCCTATCTGGGTGGTTGTCAAAATCAGGGTCCCTTGTTAGGTACCCTAAATATTAGGTGCCGTATTATATTAGGGACCCAGAAAGGGACCCCAGTTTTGACAACCACCCATCTCCAAACTCAAGCTTCGGACCCTCAACCTTAAGCCACTCCCTTATCAAATGCCCCCCGTGTCAGTGAACCTCAACTTCCATGAGGCACACACAGCTGCCAGCCTCGCTGAGCTTCAGGCGCAAGCGCAGGCGGGTTGTTGAGACTTGCTCCGATTTTTCGATTGACCTTCTTGTTTTGAGGCCCCTTTGTGAAGACCGAACAACAGGAAACAGAGTGCAGGTACTGTTTGGGGGCACCAAGTTGTGTATGAATCATGCACGCTTTTATGCGACTTATAAGTGATATTGTTGGGGGCAGGGCCCTTCAGCTGCAACCCAGTGTTCCTTCACAAGAACTACATATGCTAGACAAGTCCCTATATTCCAGGGGTCCTGGATATGTTAAAAGTTAATATTACGATTATGACTTATAACGTATATTTTATGATCACAAACTGTTGATGAATATGTATATATATATATACATATAATATAGGGTCCTTTTTGTTGGTATTAGGCTCTGCAGGCTGTTTTGTCAGTAAAATCCTGTCCTACTTTGAGCCAAACCCGAACTCTAAACCAGCCGTGGACCATGACGGAGCCATTTACTAGCTATAAGCCAAAAAAATAGGTGGATTGATATGTGAACATGTATATACATATATATATATATATACATACATACATATATACAAAAACCAGCAGCTGATCACTGAGTAACATGCTCTCATCGGGGCATGGAAAACAGAATATAAGTATGTATACATATATATATATATATATGTACGTATGCAAACAAGACATATGTGTATATGCATGCTTATGAACAGCTACACAGACGAATACATGGGTGCATACGTATACACCTATAAATAAATATGCATACATATATATATATATGTGTGTGTTTATATATATACAGACGTAGATATATAGATAAATACAAATGTGCATATGTGTACATACATATATACATATATATATATGATATGATATACACATATATGTGTGTACATATGTTTATTGTTTCTTTTCGTTTATATCATAACTTGTTCTAGTGATGTCCATTATATATTGTCCTGTACTTTACTATACCATACTATACTGTACACATGTTTTTTTATCATGCTTTGTTATTTCATTCCTGTTAACTATATAGCCAAACGAGACTTCAATTGGTTGTTTTCGTTGTTGACTACCTGGTGTGAGCCAATAGTAACTAATATGTTAGGGACTACTTTATGGTTTGAGATTATGCTTCAACACATTATCGTATACATGATAACATTGTCTTATGCTATATTGCATGTGAGTTTACCTTCAATTTTTCACTAAACCCTAAGCCCTCCAACCCTAAATCCGAAACAGCTTTGTTTATTTCATATACAACCCAAGAGAATATGAAGAACACATGTTTTTGGTATGGTTTTGAGGGGGGTATAGGAGTTCCGGGTTTTGTGGTCAGGGTTTCATAGTTACCGGCATGACTTACGACCCCCCCTGCGCCGGACAAGCATACTTTGGGCCCCTTCTAAAGCATACTCTTCAGCTCCCACGTGCATCCAGGCGCATGCGCAGGCAGTGGTCGGCCTGTTTATGGGAGAGTTATTGTATCTCATGTCCAACTGGGGGCCCGGAGGGTCTATTGTAGAAGCCTAGACATATTACTAGAATTCTTTGGAGTTCCTAAACCTTGATTCTAAATCTTTGGACGCTATATTAGAGGGCTCCTCCCGTGCTGCGGGTCTGTGGCTGTTGTTTGAAGCAGATGTCGATTTTCGAGATAAACCTGCAGCTGCCCAGAGCCGCAGCAACTGGTTTCAGTTGTTTGTGTTACAGTAGAAGCCAGAAAGTTGGAATATCATTATCGTATCCCTTTTAAGGTAAACTATAGGGGATCCTACCATTAATCCATATTCCAACTTTCTGGAGTTCCCTGTAAGCCCTCTGTTTCATGCCTCAGGCTTCGGGCTACGATGCGTATAGATTAGAAGCTGCCCCCACCCTGCAATAGTGACTATAAGGATTATATTAGGGCCCTATTATATTCCTATTATACCACTATATCTAGGATGCCCAGTAGTACCCTTATTCCCTTTTTGTAGTCCTAGGTTCCTTGCAAAGTTCCTTAATACCAAAAAGGGAGCCCTTTCTATTCCTAGGTTACTGGGTATCCTAGGAAAGATTGCAGGCGGCTTGTAAGGATGGTGATGACATTTTCAGGTTTTGGCTTTTTGAGTTGCGGCTTCTTTTATCAGGATCGCCAGACACTAGGACCTAGAGTAAGCCCTTATTCCCTTTTGTAGGGTTCAGGTTCCCTTATAAGCCCCTTTAAACCAAAAACGGCACTCTTATTATTCCTAGGTTACTCTTGGATCTAGTCAGGATCGCCAAACTTGTGTTTGTTTTGCTGACTTTGTCCTGGGAGTAGAGCGGCGTCGGGCCTGTAGCACCAGCTGAGAGTCGGATTTCTGGCTTCGCTTTGGGCACAAATAATAAGACTAGTTACTACTTGGAGGGAATGGGTTCCTTAAGGGCCCCTTTAAAAGGGATCTATAGGGATTCTATAAGGGTATAGGGTTTAGGGTTTAGAGTTCTTGGAGGGTCGGGGGACTTAGTAACTGGTTATTTTAGGGACTTATAAGTACCGGAACCCCAGTTAGGGTCCCTTTTAGGGTACGTATAAGTCTACTACTTACTAAGTCCCCCGACCCTCCAAGTAGTAATACCAAAAGCAATATCAGTCATGGTAATCATGATAATAGTAGCAATCATATTGCTAACAATAACAAGAGTAACACGAGCAATCATCGTAGCAATCATAAAACCATAGGATAATGGACGACAGCCAGAGTTTCAAGCATTGCTCAGTTGGGAACTTCAAACTCCCGTAGCATCATAGGGATCCTTAGGGGTGTAGGGGGGAGGGGTGTAGGGGACTATTATTTCCTTAAATAGGCCTTATTAGTCCTTATTATGGGCCTTAAGGCCCCCTACCCCCCCTCCCCCTACACCCCTAAGGATCCCTATGGTAGCAAAAGTCTTATGTGACACCCCACCCCCTCCTCACCCCAAACGAGCAGGCAAGCACATTGACATTCCAATAAGCCCCTTGCAGTACACTCCCAACACCCCCTAAACCCAAACCCTACACCTAAACCCAAACCCTTTTTAGGAGAAAGGGTGCAGTTCAACTTTAAAAAACCTAAACCCTAAAACCCCTAGGCCTTAGAATCTGCTCCCCTTGTGCCAGGCGCAGGTGCAGGCCCGGCTTCCACGGGTTTCCACGCACGTCCCCCCCTGTCTGTTGCGAGGGAGCTCAGGGCTTTGAAGTTTCGGGTTGAGGGTTTAGGGTTCCTCTAAGGTTAAAGGGATCCATTGAGGGCTCCTTAAAGGGATCTAAAAGGGTTCCTTTTTAGGGTTTAGGGTTTAGGGGATGGAGGGTTTATGGTTTATAGGGTATGGGGTTTCAGGGTTTGGGTTTCAGGCTTCGGTTTGGTGGCCTTAGACTTGCTGGAAGCCCTGGACCCGAAGAATGGCTACCCTTCAAGACCGTTCGAAGAATCGAACAAGGGCTTCATCGACTTCGCTACTGCTGCGGTTTACCTCGGCTTCTTTTAAGAAGACTGCCCGAGGAAACGGGCCGCCATGGCTGCTCCCTCCGCCTCCGCCTATGACGAGTTTGATTTCGGCTCGATTCCATGGTCCTGCGTCCGAGTCAGTCTTCGTCGAAGGCCATCAATCATGCCGCCCAGAATCCTAAGCACGAAAGGGATCTTCGAGAAAGGCGGATTGGCGATGGACACTCGCGTGGCTCAGAAGCACAGTCGCTCATCTTGTAGCCCTGTAGTCTATAGTCTCCTTAAGGGATTTTTCCACTTTTGGTTCATATAAAACCCAAAAGAATATTAAACCCTACTCTGCTTGTTGTGGTTTTAAGGAGGTATAAATAGAATAATCACTGAGAAGGGGCCCCCACCCTGTAATAGTGGTATAATAGGAATATAATAGGGCCCTAATATAACCCTTATAGTCACTATTGCAGGGTGGGGGCAGCTTCTAAGGAATACCTTAACCCCAAATAACCTAGCTTTTTAAGGACTTATATAAGGCAATCATATTAGGGAACCCTACTATGCTTATTATGGTTTTTAAAGGGGGTGTAAATAGAACAATCACTCTATTCTGGGCCCGGCGGAGTTCCTGCCCGGTAGACTTCGGGCACAGTGCCTGGATCCCTCGGACAATTAGTCGATGCCTTGGTTTAGGGCTTAGGGTTTGGGGTTCCGTTAAAAGGATCCATTACTTGGATGGTCGGGGGACTTAGTAACTAGTTATTTTGGGACTTATGAGTATCATAACCCCAATTAGGGGGGTACTTATAAGTCTACTTACTACCTACTTACTAAGTCCCCCGACCCTCCAAGTAGGGTTTAGGGTTCCTTTTGAGGGATCCATTAAGGGCTCGGATCTATAAGGGTTCCTTTAAGGGGGTTAGGGTTCCGGGGTTCATGGTTTAGGCCATGCAGGGAATTGACATCGATTTCCCCCAAAGAAAATCCACTCGACGAGTGCACGTCTAGTTCCTGTTAGTTAAGAGTTACGCCTTCAACTGGCGAGGGATCCTCGGCATGTTTTTGCTTAAATAAGGGTTTATGGAGTCTCCGTGTAGGAAACCTCGTTTGCGTGACTTGGCAAAAAGGATCACAAGGTTGGCTACCGCACCTAGAACACTATTTTCAAGCCAGTACTTAGAGGGTCATGGGACTTAGTAAGTAGGTTATAATTAGGGTTATAAGTCCCCTAAGTGGGGTTATCCTAATTATAACCTACTTATAACCTTACTTACTAAGTCCCATGATCCTCCAAGTACCCTACCATGACCCTTGCTTTGTGAGCTCACGCAGAGCTTGGGGTCCTGAGGCTCTGGGTCGTCGCTGGGCTCTTTTCAACAAGACCAATGTCACAGAACCCCTAAACCCTAAACCCCTAAACCCCTAGGCCCTAGGCCCAAAACCCTAAACCCCTAAACCCTAAACCCCTAAACCCCTAAACCCCTAAACCCCTAAACCCATAAACCCTAAACCCCTAAACCCCTAAACCCTAAACCCCTAAACCCCTAAAACCCTAAACCCCTAAACCCTAAACCCTAAACCACTGAAAGAAGAACGAGTCCCGAAATCTTCCGTCCCGCGAGGCGCAAGCACAGGTCTCCCCTGACCTGGTTTTTGGGCTGCGATCTTAAACAGTAAACCCCAGAAAGTGGGGCTATAGGGTTCCTTTAAGGGTTTTGTAGGGTTTATACGATTTAGGGTAGTTATAGATTTCAGTAAACCCCTGACCTGGTTTTTGGGGCTGCCTTACCTTTGGTTAGTAGGGAATGGGGGCTCCTTTAAAGGGATTTATAGGGTTCCTTTAAAAAGATCTATAGGGTTCCTTTAAAGGGATCTTTACCTTTGGTTAGTAGGGAATGGGGGCTCCTTTAAAGGGATTTATAGGGTTCCTTTAAAAAGATCTATAGGGTTCCTTTAAAGGGATCTTTACCTTTGGTTAGTAGGGAATGGAGGAATGGGGTACAATTACAGCTACTATTACTACCATTCTTCCATTCCCTACTAACCAAAGGTGAGCTTCGAGCTTAAACAGTAAACACCAGAAGGTGGGGCTATAGGGTTCCTTTAAGGGTTGTGTAGGGTTTATAGGGTTTAGGGTAGTTATAGATTTCAGTAAACCCCATAAAAGTTGGAAACAAATGGTGTAGGAGTTACGGTGAAGGGATTGGGGCTTCATGGGTTTAGGGTTCAGGGTTTTTAGGGTTTAGAGCTTAAAGGCTTTATAGTAAACCCCATAAAGTTGGAAACCCGTTTAAGGCAAAATAGTACTGGGATTCCCTATATATATATACACACACACACACACACATTACTCTTTAGGATTGAGGCTATTGGGTTTCCAACTTTTGGGCTTCTACTGTAGTGGTATGTCGCATTGAGGGTTGCCGGCTTTGGCGAGCGGGGGTCTTGGATTTCAATAGGAGCCCCGTAAGCATTTGTCACTGAAGCAGGCGAGTGATAGTGCTCGCAGTGCCCGTGTCCGAAATCGGGTTTACGCTTGAGAGTTTGGGGTTGCGGCACTGCCCGGAAGATAACAAGTTGTAAGCAGTGGTCTCAGGTACTAGGACACCAATTATCACTCTTGTCGTCATCCCGGCCATCTTGTTCATCAGTCTCGTCGTGATCATTATCATCATCATTGTCCCTTATAAGCCCTAAAACTTAAATCCTGAACATCCTAGAATCATTATCACTGTCTCAGCCACGACTATCGGATCTGCGGCTCCTGATTTCCGCATTCTCACGGGTCGACGTTTTCAAATGGATTATAAGAAGTAAAGTCGCGCTATTACAGCCTTCCTCTATAGTCCTCTTAGGAATTACGTTTTTTGTTTCTGTTCAGATAAAACGCGAGAGAATGTTAGAACTAGCATTGTCTATTATGGTTCTAAGGGGGAGGCAGTCCTTGCAACTATCCCTGAACCTCGAAGTTGCCCAGACCTTCCAAACTCCCTTAATTAAGGAATATACCTTAAATTATAGTAGGATCCCTAATATGATTTAAGGTATACTCCTTAATTAAGGGATCTTGGAAGGTCTGGGTATCCCTGAACCTCGAAGTTGCTTCCGGGCTTCAGGATGATGCCCTCAACTTTTGTTTGAACCCTTAATTAGGGACCCGAAAAGAACATAAGCATAACCATTTTGTGGGGACATCCCTACCTTAGTGGGCTTCATTATCAGGGGGGTTTAGGTGGGATATCCCTATCCATATTTTTGCTTACGTGCTTTTTTGGGGCCCTACTTAAGTCCAACGCCCCTTGAACCTACGCCCCGTAGCCGGTTGTTCGGCCCCGACCCGAATCCTAAACTCTGAGCCCTGAGCCCTTACCCCTAAACCCTCAACCTAAGCCCTACTTGGAGGGTCGAGGGACTTACTAAGTAGGTAGTAAGTAGATTTATAAGTACCCTAAAAGGGACTCTAATTGGGGTTATGGTACTTATAAGTCCCAAAAATAACCAGTTACTAAGTCCCCCGACCCTCCAAGTAAACCCCGACACCAGAATCCCCAACTCTGAAGCACGCCAGGCGCAGGCACAGGCCAGTGTGGGGTGTGGCTCAGGTCTAGGGTTCAGGTGTTAGGATTTAGGGTTCGGGAGTTCCATCAAGGATTCCGTAAGGATTTTTAATGAGCTTTAGGGTTTCGTGTTCAGGGTATCGTATTTCGTGGCAGGAAAATTGAAACCTGAATACCTTCGGGCAGGATAAGCAACCATAGCAAGGGTTTGCATAGCCCCAACCCGGCCCCAACCCCAAGCCCACAAGTTTTGAAGCAGCCTAAGCTTAAAGCTCCGTAGATCCTAAGCTAGTTCTCGGCCTCAGCCCCTCGATCTTGTTAGACAGCAATCGTCGTCACGCTTTGGTATGTAAATCCTCGTTCCTAAACAAACTTAGTTTCTGAGTTCATAACCCCCCAAAGAACAACAAGGTTCTGCGCTTTATTGCAATCAAGTTGCAAACTGCGCCGATTGTCTCTTTGCGCTCTTGGTGCACCCGGCCGCCACCTGTGCATATTGTTCCTCCACAGCCAGATAATGTTCTGTACTCTTCGGGGGATGTGTTCTCTGTCAACATCTGCGGCAAGCCTGTTCCAGTAAAGCCTGGAATGTCATTGATCCAGTTACGGGTCATGGCACCGCTGTGGGCTACACGCCTATCTCCTATAAGGCGGTAACCGCAGAGGTGAAGGCGAAGATGATGACAGTTACTTCAAACATGGGTAGTAACTAGGGTTGTAATTAGGGTAAAAATCCTTATAAGCCCAATTAAGGTACTTATAACCTTACTTACTAAGTCCCATGACTTCACGCATGGGCGACCTCAAGGTTCAGCCCGGTCAATGGTTTTGTGCATTGTTGAAGGACGGTGCTACGGTTGATGATATGAATCCTGCATTACCCATAGTAAGAAATATGCCATAATTCCCATAGTTTAGGGTCCTTAAGGTCATGCAGGATTCATATCATCAACAGTATGACTCCTGCTGCTGGGAGCTGGCTGAACTCCTCTTGGTATTCTTTCAAGAAGACTAAGGAGATTGGTGCAATACAGTACGTGTCTTTCCGTAGATCCCAAAAGTAGCTTCTTTCTCTCAGCCTCTTAGCAGCTGAGTAGGAAACCTGTAACCTTTTGGAGTTTGTATAATGCTACCATAATTCAGAAGGTTAACATTTTTTGGGCTAGGATACACAGCCCCTAAGGTAATCCTCGTTCCCAAACAAACCTTGCTACAAAGACGATCAGGAATCGGAGAAACAGTATTCCCCTATCGCTAGGGGGGTTAGGGTTTTGAGGGGTTCGGGCCCGGAGTGGATATCCAACCCTTACAGTAGAAGCCAGAAAGTTGGAATATCATTATCGTAACCCCTCTAAGGTAAATTATAGGGGATCCTACCATTAATCCATATTCCAACTTTCTGGAGTTCCCTATAACTCACCAGTAAGCCTCTTCAACCTGGCAGCGAGGATTCCAGCGTTGGCGTCTATTGAAAACTCATGGAAGCTGCTTGGGGGTTGCCGAAAATAGGGGACCTTAATAGAGTACCCTAAATAGTAGGGTCCTTATGGTATTATAAGGACCCCCCAAATACGGCACCCCTAATTTTCGGAAACTCCCACATTGGTGGAACTATGTTTTGATTCTCGATCCCCTTTATTATTTCACAACCCTAACCCGGACCATCCTAACCCCCAAAGCCCTAAACCCTCCTAATGCCCTAAACCCTCCTAAAGCGCTCAACCCCTACCTGGAGCTTCATGGGTGGCTATATGTGGGGTTGTAAGAAGGGTAATTAGCCACTTGTATCGCATTTTAGGCGACTTATAACCGCCACTTACAATTACCCAAAGGCTCCATGTAGCCAGATAGTATACACTTATACCCTAAAGTAACCTATATAGGAACCCCTTTAAGGCCCAAGTATATACTATACGGGTACATGGAGCCTTAGGGTTACCCATGAACCTCCAAGTAGACCCCTTTGACTACATCTTCGACCCAAGACTACGCCCCAAGACCCAGACCGCCGAGGCCCTAAACCCCCCTAAGCCCTAGACCCCGCTTGGAGGGTCGGGGGACTTAGTAACTGGGTATTTTAGGGACTTATAGGTACCATAACCTTAATTAGGGTCCCTTTTTAGGGTACTTATAAGTCTACTTACTACCTACTTACTAAGTCCCCCGACCCTCCGAGCGAGACCCCGCGTGCAGGCCCAAGCGCAAGCTCAAGCGCAAGTTCAAGCCCAGGCTCTCTGGAAGCGACTGACTGCAGTCACGCGGCATCAGACTTCTCCTAAACCTTGACCTCTTGAAAACCACACCCTTTTGGGGATCGTTTTGCAACTTCCTTAATTAGATGAATCCTTAACGACTCCTAGCCCCATGCAGACCCTAAACCCCTCTCGTGCGAGGGCTTAGAGCTCTTGAGCTAGGGTTCATGGTTTAGAGCTTTCACCGGGACTCACATCTGGTTTTCGCACGATTAGGGTGTGGGGTATCCCAAAGGCTCCATGTAGCCATGTAGTATATACTTGTACCCTAAAGTACCCATATAGGAACCCCTTTAAGGCCCAAGTATATACTATATGGGTACATGGAGCCCTAGGGTATGGGGGCTCAAGACCTGTGCCCTAACCCCTTTGGGATTGGGGTCCAGGCGCTCCTTACGGTTTAGGGTTTAGGGTTTAGGGTTGCTGCAGGCACATCCAGATGGTTTCACGTGGGGCGCGGGGCGGGAGATGTCTACTATAGGGGCCGGAAGAATGACTCTGTGAAAATGTCCCTTGTGGTCCCTATGTAGTTGTATTCTAGGATAGCTCCAAGACCTCATTTTCAGTATGAAGGGCCGTAACATTGGAAACGCTGAACTTCCAACACAAGCCCGCAAGTTTCCTAATCTCTATATCCGCGAAGCTTCGAACCCAAGTACCGTAGTCGACAGCCCTGAGTGTAATTAAGGTCGGTCGGAATATCTGGACTTAGGATGCCCTTATTGTTCCTACGTAATGTAGAGTCATAGCATAAGATACCCTTAGTCAAAACCGCCATGGCAGAATCCATCCTGAACCCTTAGCCGCCGTAACCGCCGCAACTCAGTAGACGCTGAACCCTAAACGACCCGAAGACACCTTCGGCCAGGGACAGCTGTCCCAAGCACCGCCCCCACCCGTTGGCTTTGGCCAGGTGCGGGGGCCCAGAGAAATAGAGTTTTTGCAGGCTTCTGTCAGCACTTCCCGAGAAGGTACAAGTACTTTCAATTTTTGTGTTTTAGGGCCTTTTTCGGTATCAAAAACCATAAATAAGATAAATAAGGACTACTTGGACCCTTGGGGTTCCTTACATCATCATCATCATCATAAACCCAGAGCAAAAAGCAAGACAAGAGAAACCCCAGCACTACCCTAAACTTCAAAGCTACTGCTTGAGCTTTGAAGCCTTTGCTGTGCCCTTGAGGGTATAGGAATTCGCAGTGTTTGGGTTTATGTCTTTACCCCTAGGACCTAGAGTCGGCCCGTATTCCATTTTTTCAGGGTTCAGGTTCCCTTATAAGCCCCTTTAAACCGAGAAGGGCCTCCTTTTTATTCCCACGTTACTCTTGGGTCTACCTTCAGTGCACAGAGCGATGAAAGGCGTAAACTCTAAACCGAATGCCAGTCTTCCTAGTGTTATCTTGGCGACAAACTCTACACTCTACACTGCTCCCCGGCATGGCACAAAACTGATCGTTCCAATAGAAAGAGTTATCCTCAGCGTTCCCTCATCTAAAGTCTTGAAGCCCCCAAACGCGAGACTAACTGCCTACGCACTCTATATTACATTTCCCCGTTTTAAACTTTGAAAACCATTTGAACCACACAAGAATGAATCCGAAACCCCAAACCCTAAAACCTACCCAAAGAGCTCAAACAAAAAACCCTAAGCTTTCAACCCCAAACCCTAAACCCTAAACCCTACCTTAAACCCCAAATAACCTACCTATTAACGGACTTGTAGAAAGAAATCATATTAGGGCACCCCTTAGGGTCCACGCAAGCCCTGTCTATTCCCAGCTTCAAGCTTCATCCTCCGAGGACCAGGGCGGCCAAGCGCTGGTGCAGGCGCCGAGGATTTTTGTTTTCCGGGCTGCTGTGCCATGGGTTTAGGGCTTTCTGAGTTTAGGGGTTTAGGGTTTAGGTCTTTCTGGGTTTAGGGTTTTCTGGGTTTAGGGGTTTAGGGTTTAGGGCTTTCTGGGTTTAGAGGTTTAGGGTTCAGGGTAACAGTTTAGAGGTTTAGAGTTTAGGGTAGAGTTCAGGGTTTAGGGTTTCTGGGTTTTAGGGTTTTGGGTTTAGGGTTAGGGTTCGGAATAAAGTCTTCAGGCTTTAGGGTTCGGGCAAACCCCCACTCGTCCCAAACCTGACAACCTGCAGGCCCCAACCGTTTTCCATAAGGGTCCAAGTAGTATGGCTTTTGATACCTAAAAAGGCCCTAAAGCACCAAAATAGGGAGTACTTGGACCCTCTGGTTTTGGCATTAACATAAACATTGCAACCATGACTAGTGAAAAACTCATCGGCAGTCAGTCATAGTAAGCCTTCATGCCCTTCCTAAATCCCAAATTGGCCTTAAGTAGTTCCCATACATGTACTTTGGGGCCAACGCTTATCCAATTTGGTATCAGGACCCTTAGGGAAAACTTAACCCTTAACCCCTAAACCCTCAAGTCATTAAACCCTAAGCTTACGTCTCAAACCCTTCAATGCCAGGCCCATACCGCCAGCTTAGCCGAGCTTCAAGCGCAGGCGCAGGCCCACGCCCAGGCGCCGCACACACTTTTGCATCCACTCTGCCACACCACCTTAGTAGCTGAGTGGATACACTTCACACTTTTTGGGAGAATATTACACACTATAAAACTGAAAGTGTACACATTTGAGGGCTTATGAACTCAGCAGCTCAGCCACGAACCTGCTGAATCCGTAAATCTCCTGGCAAACTCACGTGCCCTGGACTAAACTCAAGACCTTAAACATTCAAATCCCAAAGCCCCTGACCCAGAAGACAACCCGAAATGAACCAAAGGATCCATCGTATTCTTCTTCCTATTTCGAGGATGCCCAGTAGTACCCTTATTCCCTTTTTGTAGTCCCAGGTTCCTTATAAAGTTACCCAATACCAAAAATGGAGCCCCTTTTTATTCCTAGGTTACTGGGCATCCTAGAGTTTAAGTGCAATATAGTCCTTCATAGCCCCTAAGCCGAAGAACTCGAAACTGCAGACCCCCGAAACTTAAATCCCTGCGGGCTCGGGTCTGCATCTTAAACGATAAATCCCTAAACTACTTGGAGTTTCATGGGTAGCTATAAGTGGGGTTATAAGTGCTGATTCGAGTATGGCTTATATCTACAGTTAACCTACTTACCTACTTACAACCCACTTATAACTACCCATGCACCTCCAAGCAGACCCCCAAACCTTTAACGGCCCTAACAGAGCATTAGACATAAGAAGCCCTAAACCCACAATGCCCTGTAGCCAGAAGCCATACGGATCCCTTTGTAGAGTCTGAGGCCTACCTGTAGGCTCCATTGTAGTTTCTTTTTGTGGTCTGTATTTAAGATCCTGTAAGGTAATCCCAACAAGGGTACCATGGAGCCTATAGGTAGAGAGTCCATATATACAGCTATTCTGGAGTGAGGTCCCTAAAACCATGATAAGGATGTTCTTGTGAGCCCATTCCCATAGTGGTAATATATGTGGACCCTTTGGCAAAGGAATTCTCAGACAAACCATAAATCCTAAAACCCAAAACTTTAAATCCTAAGCCCCTAAAGCCCTAAACCTTAAAGCCCTAAAGCATTAAACCCCTAGACCCTAAAGCCCTGAAGCCCTCAATCCTTCAACCCTAAGCCCTGAAATCCGAAAACCCTAGATCCTTATAAACCCTCCGGGTCTCATGGAGTGAGTAATGTCCACTGAAGTGCGGGATATAAACCCTAAACCTAGTAGTAGAGTAGGTAACCTTAAACCTTCTTGTAGGTAGTATAGTCCTTATATAATACAATGTCTATATGGCCAAAAAGATTAACCTTTAGTTCCCAATGATACCCGACAAGTAGGCTGAGTAGTACCCTGAAACGGTTCCTTAAAGGGCTCCTTAAAGGGTTCCCTAAAGCCCTAAACGCCCAACTCCCAAACCCTAAAACCCCCCAAAAAAGGCGCCCCATTGCCAGGCTCAGGTCCATGCAGCTGAAGCCGCTGCGCGGTTCGCCCAGGCCGATGCTTCTTGCAACGTGACCCCAGAGACTCCAATATCCCTTAATTAAGGAATATACCTTAAATTATATTCGGGATCCCTAATATGATTTAAAGAATATTCCTTAATTAAGGGGTATTGGAGTCTCTGGGACCCTGCTGTCATCCCCCCCACGACTACTTGGAGGGTCGGGGGACTTAGTAAGTAGGTAGTAGGTAGACTTATAAGTACCCTAAAGGGAACCTAATTGGGGTTAGGATACTTATAAGTCCCTAAACTAACTAGTTACTAAGTCCCTCGACCCTCCAAGTGCTGTCATCCCCCCCGCGACTATCGTGCAATGAGCCTGCAAAATCCAAATTTAGGGACGGAAGTAGTACTTCCTCATTACCCTTAGATACTTATGGTAGATGCCGAAACCTTAAACCCTAAACCCGAAACCATAAACCCTAAAACCCCAAACCCTAAACCGATTCGAAATCTTTGTTTAAGCCGCTGCTTTAAGTTTCATCTCCGCTCTGGAAGTGGCTGTAGTGCCTTGGCTGATGCTCCTAGGCGATTAAAAAGACCACAGCTATCACACGGTTGACGATATAAATCCCGCCCGACTCACAATACCGACTATACCATAATTACCATACTCCAGGGTCCTTGAGCTAATGCAGGGTTTATATCGTCAACAGTAATTCGGTTATCTTCAGTTTTCGAACCTTGCTTACCACTGTCGCCCGAGTACCATGCACAGGCATTCCGTATTTTGGAAGGCCGACTTAGCGATTAACAAGCCACGAGCAAATAATCTAAAAACCTGATCAAGAAACATTGGCCAGGGTTCGTACAAAGAACCCTATAAAGACCCTTGGATCCTTAATCAGGTTCCTACATAAAAATGAATAATTACCTGTGTTTTGTTTTTGGGTTTCTGATTGCATTATTATACTACCATATGACCCCAAGCACTACTCCAATTGTTAAGACACCCTATTATCGATGTTGATGGCACAGGTTTCCTAGGCCGATGATACTCCAGACTGGAATCGTAGGATGTGTGAAGCATCCCACTGAAAGGTTTTGCCACTTCAGGCACTTTAAGGTTTGGGTACAGGACCCTGAACCCTTAACTTGAAAAGCTGAGCCCCCTCTATCAAACCCTCTAACAGCCTCTGAGACATCCCCCAACCCTCGCCCCTAACTCCCAAATCCTGAGCCCGGAATCCTAGAACAACCTCCCAACCCTGAAACCCTATAATAGAAGCCAGAAAGTTGGAACATCATTATCCTCATGCCCTCCAAGTAAAGCATAGGGAATCCTAGCACTGATCATCCTTAATCCATGTTCCAACTTTCTAAGGTTCACTGTAAACTATAGGGTTTAGGGTTCCCCCAACCCTGAAACCCCCTAAACTAAACCCTGTCAGGAGCAGGCTCAAGCCGTCGCCGAGGCTCAGCAGCGTGCCGTGGTGCAGGCGGCCTCGTGGGGGATTCGGCTTTACAGGAGCTTTAGAGTTTCCCCAAGATTCCACAGGACCCAGTAATTAGGTATTCGGTTTTAGGAGAATAGTTATGTCGGTTATGATTTTGGAGATTATATGATTATTGGGTACCTGGACCCTGGGGATTTTTTTGGGGGGAAGGGAGGCGAGGTCGGGGTTTTGGAGGATTGCAAAGGCTTAATCTTGGTTCTATGGGGCCGAAACCGGGCATGTTTGTACCAAAATCTTGCAAAGCACGTGCAACACATAATTTGAGATATGTGTGAGAAAATTTATTTTGGAATTCGTACAGCGCCGAAATCCTGTTCCCGAAGCCTTGAAGAATTTTCCATTTCCATGCCGAAACAACAAAAACTCTACACCCTGAGCCCTCAGCCCCAAAACCCAACAGCTCCGCCTGGGCCAGGCCCAAGCGCAGGCTGCCGCCGAACAAGCGAGGCCGGGACACGCCCTCGTTTGCTTAGCAGCTGAGCAGGTAACCTTTAACCTTTTGGGGTTTATACAACGCTACCATAATTCAAAAGGTTAACCTTTTTTGGGCTAGGATACTCAGTCCCCAAGTTTGTTAAGGTTCAGATCTAGGTTTTGGGGCTTTACAATATGGGGGTTTCCGAAAATAGGGGTACCATATTTTGGGGTCCTTATAATAAGGATCCTAGTATTTAGGGTACCATATTAGGTTCCCCTATTTTCGGAAACTCCCATATCATGAGGGTCTTAACAGATTCCAAGAGGGGTCCGTTTAAATTTTATCGGTTTCATAGTGGGTTCCTGCAAGGGTCGTTCAAGGGTTTTCTAAGCGCTTGATTTGGGGGCCTTTTAAAATGGGATTCTCGGACAACGCAGTATATTTGCGAATACAATAAGGAGCCCTCAGGAATCATATGGACAACTATTCAGGCTTCTATCTTTCGGATTATTCCCAAAACATCTCTAATCCTGCAACAAAACCACAAGACCCGAGCTCAGAAATCTAACAGGTCTAGGGTTTGGAAACTACTTTGAGGTTTTATGACTACTATCATATATATATATATATATATATATATATCTATATATATATATATATAGACATATAGCTATACATAGACTTTTGTAAGGGAGGAGGCGTTTTAGCTATTTGTTGTCCAGGGCTAGGGTCTTGTTTTTTGTCTGTAGGGCTAACGATTTAAGGTTTAGGGTTTAAGGTTCAGGGCTCAGGCTGAGGATAGGGTTCCCTTTAAAAGGTTCCTTAAAGGGCTGATACGGGATACCATACAGATACTATAATATAGGGGCCTCACACTTAGAATAGGATTTTGGGGCTTGCTTGGAGGCCCACGGGACTAAGTAAGTCGGTTATAAGTAGGGTTATAATTGGCTGAACTCCATTCAAGTTACTGTAGTTATAACTCTACTGATAGCCTACTTACTAAGTCCCCTGGGCCTGTAAGTGGCTTTCGGGCTCAGGGTTTAGGGAGGGCTTAGGGTTTAGGGGTCGGCTCCTGGCCGATATAAGACATACCGTGGGGCTACGGGTTTGGGGTTCACCCAGAGAGCCCAATGCCCCTTGATTGACATTGAGGAATATACATGAAATCAGGCCAGGAACAGTAAGCCCGAAGATGATTTAAGGTATATTTCTCCATTAAAGGGTATTGGGCTCGCTGGGTGCTAGGGTGGCTAGGGATTTGGGTGTCAAGAAGATTATGCAAGGGTCTGTAGAGCTTGGAACGTAGGGTTTAGCTTGCAGACGTGCTAGCCCCGAATCAGAACAGCTAGGAACGCCCCAACTGGGTGCCAGGTCACGGGACGGCTCCTCAAGGAAGATGGTAAGTGTCACAGCCATATGATAACCACCCAAGTCCCACAATTAGTCGTATTGGTATGTCCGCATAAGTCACGTCTCCAACCCGCAAGACGCCAAAGAAATTCCCTTAACCCCTCAAGCCCTAACCTTAAACAACAGTCCTACACCCCGAAAGCCTAAACCCGAAAGCTTTCTCAGCTTTGTAGTGTAAGGTTCTATCTTCTGTAGGCAGCTGAGCAGCTAGGCCCTGAAGTCAGACCCTAAACTCAAATCTTATGAATCCTCAGCAACAAACTCTCAATCCTCTGCAGTTCGCCAGGCTGCAGCAGCAGCAACAACAGCAGCAAAGAGAGCAGGCTATTGCTCAGGCGAAACAACGCCGCGAGGCATTTGGGCAAAACGGGTCCGTTTTGTGGCTTTGGGGTTGCAGGGTGGCGGCTTTTTCTTGAGGCTTTCGGCTTTCGGTTTAAGCTTTAAGAGTTCTGAGATGATCTTCTAGGTTCCTCAGTAGTGCCCTTTCGCCCTTCTGCTGTTTGGGGTCCCTTCTTCACACAGTAGTCGGAAAAAAAGGGTACCCTTATTACTAAGGGGCTACTTGGGAACCTAGTCTTGATGCAGAAAGTCTAGGACCTAGAGTAGGCCTTTATTCCCTTTTTTCGGGTTCAGGTTCCCGTGCAAGCCCCTTCAAACCAAAAAGGACGCCTCTTATATTCCTAGGTTTCTCTTATAGGTTCAGACTTAAAGGAACCTTAAACCCTTCTAGATCCTTTTATAGGAACCCTTAACCCCTATAGATGCCTTTTAAAGGAACCCCTATCGTGGGTCTAGCAGAAATTTCACAATCGACCCAGCAGTCGCGTCTCGTCGTTCCCGACTCGCAGTCCGTCTCTTCGCGATCCGTAGCAATCGTACTATAGGGGTCTTAATATGGGGGCCTAAGTAAGTAGAATAGGGGTTCCCTTTAAAGGGTTCCTTATAAACCGGTCTATAAAGGTTACTGTAATAAGGGTATAATGGGGGTCTAGTATAGGGGTCTTAATAATTAGAACAGGGTTTGGGGGGCCGATATACTTCATAATAAGGACCCCTCCCCCCAAATAGTATAGGTAATTATTTGAGCGGCCTATAGTATGCAGCCGACCTGATGATGGGCATTGGACCCAGAGATCCCTTTAAAGGACACCCAGAGATTCCTTTAACTGCCAGGGAACTGGGCCTTGCGTCTTACAGCTCATCAACACAGCCCTGCTTGCATCTAGCAAACTATGTGCATTACAAACTCCCCTGCCGCGACAAACACCCTACTTGGAGGGTCGGGGGACTCAGTAAGTAGGTAGTAGGTAGACTTATAAGTACCCTAAGAAGGGACCCTAATTGGGGTTCTGGTACTTATAAGTCCCCAAAATAACCAGTTACTAAGTCCCCCGACCCTCCAAGCAGAGATTCCTTCAAGTTAAAGGTTTAGGGTTTAGGGTTTAGGAAACCGAAGCCGCTTCCAGGAGAAGCTGAAGGAAGCGCAGATGGAGAAGGAAGCGGAAGAGAAGCTGAGGCCGCTACCCCGCTGTCGGGCTTCTTTTCAAGGTTTAGGGGTTCGGGGGTTTGGGGGTTTAGGGATTTAGGGTTCAGGGGTTTAGGGGTTTGGGGGTTTAGGGTCTTAGGGGTTTGTTTGTTTGGGGGTTGAGGGTTTAGGGTTTGCGGGTTTTGCTTTTGACGGAATCCGTTTCTAAGAATCCTTTGAGGGTTCCTGTTAAGGGATCCTTTAAGGTATTCGTTAAGGCGCTTTCAGAAATCCTTTGAAGCTGAAGGGTTCCTTCAAGAGTTCTAATTATAATGTAGGAACCTGATTAAGACACCCTGGCCCTACAACCCCAAAATAGTAGGATCCATATGGGACTTTCCGAAAATTAGGGGTACCTTATTTGGGGGGTCCTTATAATAAGGATCCTACTATTTAGGGTACTATATCAGGGTACCCTATTTTCCGAAACTCCCATATGAGCTCAAATAGAGAACATTGGAGAAGCCTCATGTCCACAGTTTCTTACTCAGGGTTCCCATATTCGTTAAGGGTCATACGGTTGATGATATAAATCCTGCATTACCCATAATAAGGAATATGCCATAATTCCCATAGTTTAGGATCCTCAAGGTCACGCAGGATTTATATCATCAACCCTAAAACCTAAACCCCAAAACCCTATAGATCCCTTTAAAGGAACCCCTTAAAGGTAGCCCCTATAGATCCCTTTAAAGGAACCCTAGGGATTTATATCATCAACAGTAGGGTTAGAGTTCAGTGCCTGGGGCCCAGCATCGGGATCCTCAGGGACTGTCTTAGGACCCCTTAGTTTCCGGAACTACCTTCAGGATGTAAAAGAGGTTTAGGGTTTAGGGTTTAGGGGTCTGCATAGCGATGTCATCAGGCTTGCTGGTGTCGGGTTTTCACTAGCTTTTCAGCCATGCTTTCACCACGGTTTGTGTTCAGTGCTGTGCTGTACGGTTTTCGGGCTTTCAGAGTTTATGAGATTATGTATGGGTCCGAGAGTTTAGGGGGTGTTAGAACTCGAGGGCTTTTGGCATTCAGGGTAGGCCCTGGAGGTCGTTCTTTGCTTGGTTAGTGGTTGAAGCTATTTGGGAGTTTCCGAAACTTAGGGGTACCTCATTTTGGGGCGTTGCTAACAAGGATCCTACTATTTAGGGTACTATATTTGGATCCCCTATTTTCGGAAACTTCTGTTTTGATAATCATGACGCGAGGCTACCCGACCCCTGAAAGTTTTGGCCGAAACCTCCAATCTAAACCCCACAAGACGAAAACCCCGAAACCCTAAACCTCCGAACCCCGAACCCCTGGAGCCTACACTACCTGAACCCTCCATACCCTCTACTCTCCTTTGTGATACGATCCACTGAGATTCATCCTGTGTTTTTGGGTCTGTCATCCTTCCACTTTTCATTTAACAAGGTTTCCTACTGGCCATTGGTGCCGCGAGCTTAGCACGGAATCACATGGCTGGTCTAGAACCTAAATACCCATTATCTGGAACCATGTACACGTTTTCGAGGGTACAGGCACCGTCCCGGCAGGCGTCATCTCCACAAGAAGCCCAACTACCGTAAACCCCCAAACCCCTGAACCCCCTAAACCCTAAACCCCTAAACCCTAAACCCCTAAAGCCTAAACCCTAAACCCTAAACCCCTAAACCCTAAACCCCTAAAGCCTAAACCCTAAAGCCTAAACCCCTAAACCCTAAACCCCTGAAACATCCTGGAGCCCAAACCAGGTGTCATCTTCACAAGAAGCCAAACTCGAAGTGCAAGTTCTGCAAGCGTCACCAGGCTCGGCTGCCGGCGTCAAGTGTACAGTCGGTTTATTTGGGAGTTTCCGAAAATTAGGGGTACCCTACTTGGGTGTCCTTCTAATATGGGCATAGACTTGGGGAGATGAGTGGTATGAGAGTAGTTGACGGTGACGGACATAGTTACGACGTTACGAGGATGTGATGGTCGATATATTTCTTGATGAGGATTGTGAAGATGATGACGATGGTGATGGCATTGGCGATGACGTTGCTCTTGACGATGATTGGGACTTGTGGAAGGTATTGTTGCTGGAATTCGTTTCACCATTGCTGCGATACTTCCTTTGGTTGTAGCATGCAGTTGTGATTGCTGTTGTTTGGATTAGCATGCCGTTGTCGCGACTAGGGCCTTGGGCAGTGATGAGGTGTCTTGGGCTACATAGCATTTTCTTAACCTTTTCGCTGAAGGATCCGGGGTGAGTTGAGTAACCCCGCTATCAGACTTGTTTTGACCCTTGGAGTGGCTAAGAAGCTTGATTTGGGTTTGATGTCGTTAAGTTCTTTCAGAAGCAACGACGGCGGGTCTTGAACACAAGGCAGATAGACACATCCACTTGCTGTCGACATGTGCTGCTGCACAGTCTTTCCGAGCAGACACACAACGGTCAGCTTTTCTGCGTTTGCTACTAGTTACTATAGTTTCTAACCACTGACTATACTGCACTTTTAGTACTACGTACTGACTAATTGTCCGCAGCACAGTGTTTTGTCCATGTTTTCTGAGAACTCTGGATGACGCAGTTCCGGAGAAGCCGGGGTACCGCGTTTAGGTTGCAGGGTTTATCCATCGGGCCCAACACCCCTTAATTGAGGAGTATATTTTGCACCAATATTAAGGCCCCTGTAATTTATGGCCCTATAACTTAAAGGGAACTCCAGAAAGTTGGAATATGGATTAATGGTAGGATCCCCTATAATTTACCTTAAAGGGGTTACGATAATGATATTCCAACTTTCTGGCTTCTACTATAAGGCATCTTTCTCAGTCGAGGTCTCTGGGTACGGGATGGAGAAGCGCGGAGCCCTCCCGCCCAGAAGAGCAGACCTCGAAGCTAAGATCCAGTAGAGAGAAATCGTGAGCCCCAGAGCCCTGAAACGTGGCACCGCGCGTGTATGACAGAAATTTGCAAAAGCCAGGCTCTCAGCCACCATCAATACAACCCATATTCGGGGATTGAAAACCTTACTTCTAACTAGTCGTAAATCTCCAAGTGCCACTACGGGCTGCAAGCAACACTTCTTTGACCCCGAAAGGGTAAATTCTCTGAAGCCTCAAACCTCGTCCAATAGACTCTGACACCCTAAAGCCCTCAAGCCCAAAACCCCAAGTCCACCCAGGGATCCTACCATAATTTAAAGTATGTTCCTCAATTAAGGGGTATTGGAGTCTCTGGGAAAGGACCATGTGGCTGAGCGCGACGAGAGGAAGGCTGCAGCAGCCAAGGGAGCTGAGAAGGACAAACGGCTCGATTTTAGCCGGATGTCCCAGCAACAAGGGGTTGAGGGGTTTAGGGTTTAGGGGTTTAGGGTTTTTGGTTAGAGCTTAGGGTTTAGGGTTTAGGGTTTAAGGGTTGAGGGTTTAGGGTTTAGGGATGTCCCAGCAACAAGGGGTTGAGGGTTTAGGGTTCCTTGAAGGGTCCCTTGTAAAGGGATCTACGGATTCTACAAGGGTATAGTAGTATATGGTTTAGGGTCTACTTTACCCAGACCCCGGGAGGATCTGGAAAATAGCTCCCCCAATTTGTGGCCCTATACTACTAAGGGTACTTTATAGGAACCCCCATTAAGGGAGTTACTTTTTGGATCCTCCCGGGGGTCTGGGAAGGGGTTGAGGGTGTTGGGTTTAACAGTTTCGATTTTGGCCGGATGTCCCAGCAACAGAAGGGCCTTTAGTGCAATTAGATTGAGGTTTGGCTGTCAGTGATGTTGGGCATTTGTGGTGTTTAGGATTCAGAGTTTACAGGGTGTGAGTTTCCGGTAGCGCGGGTGATGGGGGGCGGTTGCAAGTGTTTTATGTGTTTGGAGTTTTGGGCGGCTGAGGAATATCTATTCAACAGTTCTAGACTGGGAGTCTGTTCAGATTTTTGTTATAGTCGATGTTCCTGGAGCCTTCACAGGCGAACATGAGGACAGTCCTGGTTCGCAATTCTACTTAGTAGATTGTTTGCCTTCCTGGTTCTTGTTGGAGTATCCCCAGAGCCTGAAGAAAATTCGTGGTCGGGTCTTTCTGTGTTCTCAAGTTGACCCTTCGCCCCGAAATCGTAAGGCAACATCCCACGCGGTGCCTTGGAGATTGTCAGCACCAAGACTTACGGCTTCAGCCCACTGTTGCAAACGCACGTCGGGGCGCCCAGCGGATGTTTGATGCCGAAGCTCTGCACCTAAGCTCTACTACGATAGTATAGTTCGTAGAAGAATACTGGGCCATGACAATCTGATCCAATATCTGCACTGTTTTGCTGTGTTTGCAACAGATCAGACTTCACATATGGGATCAATACATGGTAAGCACTTGTTTATTAGACATACATACACACATACATACATGCCCACCTACATACATGCAGACATATATCCGCACGACGTAGAAGCATACATTTCCACCCGTACATCCATGCGTTCAATCGCGGGCCTGCTTCCTGTTTTACGAAATACCCGAAGGCTCCATAGTAGTTCCTGTTGGGGGGCTCATATTTTGAATTCTATAATGTAATCCCAAAAAGGAACTACTTTGGAGCCTCTGGGTAGCTCACTGTAGCAGCGAGTGTTCTGCGGACTATGCCGGTGACCCCTGTCAAACCAGCAACCTTCAACCACCTTGCACTAACATAGCCTAGCTCATGCGTTTCTCAATAGCTGCAAGTGTGCCTGGCACCATGCATCCAACAACAACGGACAACAGCAGAGATCACCCAGTAGTTCTTTGTTGGAACGAGAAAGTCCGCTTCAAAGACGGGAGCCCTGATAAATCAAGGTTTGGAAAAATTCGGCTTGCACAATCGCAAGCTACCGGGTCGTGGACTTGAGGTTCAAGGTATTCGGCATGTTGAAACTGGGGCAGCGTATAACACCAAACAGTTTGTGCCCATGTGCACATCCCTTCGTTACACCCTCTGTACCCCTGACCCCTCAATCCTTTTCCCAGAGGGTCCAAGTACTCGCTATTTTAGTACTTTAGGGCCTTTTTCGGTTTCAAAAACAATAAATAAGGACCACTTGGACCCTTAGGTAATGTTTCTTTTTCGGGTTCAAAAAGCATAAATGAGGACTACTTGGACCCTTAGGGTTTAGGTTTAGGGCGTATACTTCAGGCTCATGTTTTGGAAATCCCACCCCGCCCCCCAACTTGCAGGATTCCCAGAGCTCAAGCCCTACGGAATATACCATAATTCCAATAGTTTGGGGTCCTTAAGGTAATGCAGGATTTATAGCATCAACAGTATGTTAGGAAATCCTTGAAGGAATCCTTTAAGGAACGGGCTTCGGGCTCCTTAAAGGGCTCCTTGAGAGGAAGCCGCAGTCTATATCCTCTCACTGCCCACGAAGTGTCGGTAGACCGGGCAGACCGACTGCCCAAACCATCTTCAGTAGGAAATTTCCTGAACCCTAAATCCTAGACCATCAGAAGAAGTCCTCTATGACCTCGGATAGTCTGTGGCATGGGTGTGTGTCCGTGTGTGCGCATGGAGACGTCCTGGAATTTAAACCCTAAGCCCTACTTAAAGGATCATGTGACTTAGTAGGTAACCTATCTTTGGGGTTCTAAGTACCCTAAAGTGGGGGTATCTGAATTGTAACCTACTTGTACCTACTTAGAACCTTACTTACTAAGTCCCATGATCCTCTAAGTAAAACTAGCTTGGAAGAGACCTAAGGTCGTGGAGTCCGCTCACTTCAAGGCCAGGCCGTCGTCGCCAGACTTTAGCTGAACCCCGAATGACCTATCTTTTTAAGGTTCCTTATTATGATTTCTCAGCAGCTGAGTAGGTAACCTTTAACCTTTTGGGGTGTACATAATCCTACCATAGTTCAAAAGGTTATTCTTTTTTGGGCTAGGATACTCAGCCCCTAAGAACTCTGAATAACGTACCTTTTTAGGGTTCCTTATTATGATATCCTTGTATGAGTCTCAGTCTTTAAAAAGGTAGGTTATTTGGGGTTGAGGTAATGCTGAGAGGTTTAGGGGTTTCAGGGTTGAGAGTTTTGGATTTAGGGTAAGGCCGTTAGGGATGCGGAGTCAAGCGAGCAAGCAGTCAAGGGCTTAGTGGTTTGTCACTGATTTGGCATGGCAAACAAGGCCGCAATACAGCGACATAAAGATCGGAGGCGTGTCTTCCTCCGAGCGTTGGTGTCGTGAGACAGTTGAGAGAGCGATGCACCTGCACTAGGATTCGAAGCGGAAGGGTCTAGGTTTTACTGCGTACAACCCTCGTCTCGATCTAAATCTTAAGCATCCTGAAACACTTAAAACCCTAAACCCCGAAACCCAAACTTTAGACCGCAAGCGCTAAGCCCTTAAAGGAACCCTTAAACATCCTGCAACCATAGACCCTAAACCGTTCTGATGTGAATAAAGCTTCCCCTTCAGCCGCTCGGTTTGGGTGTCCCGCACCTATTTCCGGGCGCTGGCGGTCGCGAACCAAGGCCTGCAATATAGGGGGCCTTCATAGTTAGAATAGGGCTTGGGGTACATTATACCATAATTATAACTATAATCATAATAAGGAACCCCAAAACCCTATTCTAATGTATAAGGCCCTTATATTCCCCCAATGCGACGAAGATGTTGGGGCCCTTGGTTACCATCCTGGACTGATTGGGAATGAGGCACTGAGATCAACAGCACAGCAGAGTACCTATTGGATCCTGTTGATGATATAAATCCTGCAGTACACCCATGATAAGACATATACCATATTTCCCGTACTTTAGGGTCCTTAAGGCAATGTGGGTGCCCGCGTAGAAGCTCGCCCAGGTGCCTTCTCCGAATCCAGTGGGGTTATAAGTCCCCTCATATGAGTTATAAGTATGTACCCTACTTATAACCCTACTTCTAACTACCCATGAACCTCCAACCAGGGCAGGGTGGCAACTCGATTGCATGGGTCCAGATTCGATATGGTACCTGGTTGTCCTATTTAAGAGACGTGGACCGGAACATCTACGACAGGACACAAGATGTGGTCGATGAAGACAGCGACACCAGCGATCCACGGACACAGGTGATTGCAATCCAGTATGTCCGTCGACAGGGAGACGGCGACCCCATCCAGGGCAACTCATGCCGTTGCACGCCAGGTCGACATAGGCTTTTTGTGAATACCTTTTAAAGATAGGCCCCGTTAGTGCCTTTGACGATTGGTTATTAAAGTCTCTTAAGGTAGCCGTAATGTCAAGCTAGGTGCAGTTCACGTGAAAGCCTTACCTCTGAAACTGAATCGTAAAAGCCCTAAACCGTTAGCCTTAAACCCTAAATCCTATAACCCTGTAACCCTACCCTATAACCCTAAATCGTAAGCCCTAACCCCAAGGGTCCGAAGGACCCGATAATCAGGTACTCGGTTTTAGGATATTAGGTATGTAGGTTAGGATTTTGGAGAGTATATGATTATTGGGTACTTGGACCCTTGGGGTATAAACCCAAAACCCCTATACTACAAACTCTACAAACCCTAAACTAGGTGGCAATTTGGGAAACTTTTTAATTTCCCTTATGGTTCCTATAAAAGTACCTATTCATAAATACTTTTCAGAGTCCCAAAACTGCAACCCAGTAAAGCATAAGCGTTCGAAGGCCCTCCTTTCGTTGGAGTCGTTTGACCAAATGATCGAGGAGATGAACCAGCCTCCCGACCGCAGATGGGTACTATAGGGGCCTAAATACTTACCGATGCTATTGTGGCGGGTGGGGGGGGGGGGTTCCTCATTAGAGTTACAGTAACGATGTATACACCCAAACCCCGTTCTAATTATTAAGGCTCTGACAATACCGAGAGGGTTTAATTGGGGTTGGGGTTTGATGGGTACCCAGAGAGCCTAACCTGCCTGCAATGAGTGCGCACTCCTCGTGCTCCTTGTTATGGGGCTTAGGTTTTAGGGTTATCCAGTGAGGGGTTTAAGGTTTCGGGATGTTTGCGGCTTACTTGGGGGGTTGGGTTTTAGTGGAGTACTGCTTGAAGTAGTACATTTGTGTTTCGTTGGGTTATGGGAGCCCCATTTTGTTTCATGCCAGGTACATTTCGTAATTATGAAGGTATCAGGCTAGCTGGGTACCCAGAGAGCCCAGTTCCTTTTGCTTAAGGAATATACCTGAAACCACAACACAATACCAAGTCCCCTATAGTTGAAGGTATATTCCTCAATTAAGGGGCATTGGGCTCGCTGGTTAGTGGTTCAACTATTGCTTCCCCTTTCTTGGACCTTCGCAGTAGACCGAACAAGTATATAGACTTCCATGAGCCAGAAGTTCCTCCTAAATCCTACTTGGAGGGTCGGGGGACTTAGTAACTAGGGTTAAAGTTAACGTAACTATACTTATAAATACTTGTAACCCCGATTAAGGTACTTATAACCTTACTTAATAAGTCCCATGATCCTCCAAGTAAACATCCCTTGAATACCCAAACCCTACACTGCCTTCAAGGTTTTGCGCTCTCATTCCATTTATGCCTGAATGTGGTGTATTTATTCCAGCTCGTACCCAGAGAGCCCAATACCCCTCTATGAAGATATATAGCTTAAATCATAGTGTTACGGCGCCTATCTATAATTGTCCCAATGAAGTTCACAGGCACTGTTCGTAGTCTCAGGCACACCCTCTGCCCTCAACCCTATACGGGAGGGATACTGGAAATGCTGACTTGCCTTTCCCGAAGGCTTTAAGTGTACGACTTTGCCGGTGTGGGTTCATATGGTTTCAAGATTCTGTCGGAGTCGTTTGGCAATGCCGGCAAGAAGAAGAAAACCCAACTTGGTACTTCTTCGGAAACAACCCTAAACGCCGTGGGCAAAAGCTCTATGGAGGAGTTGTACTCTTTTATTGCTTGTGTCGTTGGTACTTTCATCCCTGTTTTTCCTCAATGTTGACCTTTAGTTCCCAGTACCCCTTCGGAAACTGAACAAGTACGCCTGCACATGCCCGGACCTCATGGAGCCTGGCTGCTTCTTAAGTGTAACCTTCCGCCTGAACAGCTTTTCTACAGGGTTTGTTTAACGATCTCAGAACTTTTATAACGAACCCAACAAAGAATGGATAAACAGGACTATGTCACATATCCGAGGAACCGAGCTCTGAAAATTTATGTTTCTCAGGGTTCATCTCGCCTGGGTATCTTTGGGTTATGTACTTGCGAGAGCTGGGCTGCAAGATTCAGGTACCCAGAGAGTTGAAGGGGCAAATTACTCGAGGAATATACTTTAGACTATAGGTTAGAAGCTGCCCCCACCCTGTAATAGTGACCATAAGGATTATATTAATATTATATTAGGGCCCTATTATATTCCTATTATACCACTAGGGCAGCTTCTAAACTAGAGGGGTCTCAGTATTATGGTTTGAGGTATATTCCTCAATAAAGGGATATTGGGCTCTCTGGGTAGAGCTTCCTCGGTAGAGCCCCAACTCAAGCCTTACGCCTTTCTCACAAGACTCAGATGCGAGGCAGCTCTTGGCTTTAGGGTTTAGGGTGTAGGGTTTAGGGTGTAGTGTTTAGGGTTTAGGGTGTAGGGTTTATTTAGGGTTTAGGGTGTAGGGTTTATTTAGGGTTTAGGGTGTAAGTGTAGGGTTTAGGGTTTAGGGTGTAGGGTTCGTTACAGGCAACATAAACCCGAAACCATGTGAAATGCTGCCACCAAAACCGCCACTCGTGAAGCAAAGAGTCAAGACTCAGGTTTGCGGACAACATCGAACCGTGCCGCCGGGGAGAGTCATCAGTGTTCTGAAGTACTCGGAGGTTCATGGAAAGTTACAAGTGGGGTTATAAGTAGGATAACTATACTGAAGCCTAGAGCTAGGACATGAAAGAGGCTTGTATCGACCACCAAAGGTTTAGGGTTTTGAGTTTAGGGTGCTGCAATAAGATCCCGTTCATTGTATGATTTGTATTCGCGCCGAAATGATGTCTGTCACTGAGTGATTCAATCCCATGGCATGCGCTCATGTTCTTGTCAGATATGTTGCCATCAGAGGTTTGCGGAAGCAGATGGTTACCCTGAACGAGTCTAATTAGTTAGCTGCCAGTGCGATCTTGGCCAACGTCGGAGTTTCCGAAAACAGGGGACCCTAATATAGTACGCTAAATAGTAGCAGGACCCCTATTATAAGGACCTAAAAATCAGGTACACAGAATTTTCGGAACTCCCACATACAGTCAGCAGTAAAGTCGACCCCTGAAGGGCAGCCTTCCAGCTGTACTGCACTTCGACTAACTATCATTTAAGGCATTTTTTGCTACAGTTTTTGTTGAGGGACGAGGATCTTTTAACCCTAAACCCTAAACCCTAAACTCTAAACCTTAAACCCTAAACTCTAAACCCTAAACCCTAAACTCTAAACCCTAAACCCTAAACCCTAAACCCTAAACCCTAAACTCTAAACCCTAGAACCTAGAAGCCTCATGAATCCTGAAGCTAAAATGCCTTAACTAAATTGCTATGCCGCCGCCTTGGACTCCTGCCAGGTATATGCCAAACAGCAACACGACGCCGTCAGCGCTTTTCTGCTGTCTCTACCGGCTCTTCACGATGGGAATTGATAGCTCCATGTTTGCACGGAGGGCCCGAGTTAAGTTCAAACGCCCTCAAACCCAGAGGGCCCTTTCTTGCAGGAATACCGCTCGGGTAAAATTCCCTGCGCAATATCAAACAAGGGGTGTTGGGTTCTGTGGGGAGATAAAGGAGGCAGAGTTGAGGTTTGTGATAAATGCATTATTATGGCTGTGGGTTAAGGGCTTGGGGTCGCATCTGTTTTTCTATTGGGGGGGGTTAACGTGAAGGGCAAGCAGAGTGCAGATATCATGCGGGCGTTCTCCGAAGGCGGAGAAGCAAAGCTGCAAGGCTATTACTAGTCATACATTGAATTAGTGGTTACCTTTCATGCAGCAACCGTAGCTCCACTAGAAGTTCGACATGAACTGAACTTGATATCGCAAGTCCGCATGAAACTTGCGCTTACGGATTTGCAAATGCGAGGGGTGGTTCATTCAAGGGCGGGATGAAGAGATTCTCCAGAGAACATGACTTAAATATGATGTTTCATGCATGAACGGACGATGAGGACAGCGACAAAACACTGTAAAATATAGCAGTATAATCACTACCTCACGCAAGCTGGTAATGATAACGGAAAGCGCTAATGACTCGCTTCAAAAGCGAGGCTACCAGTAAGCAATAGCTCATTATCGTCAAAGCAGTTGCAAGTTGTGATGAACATTCATGAAGAACCGCCAGATTTAGGATAAGCACAAACACGTCAGTCATGACAGTCGCAGTTGATGCCGAGCCCATCCGAACCTATACTAGCTGTATTTGTACTCTGTAGGGCGGAATACTTAGTATTAGTATCCCTATGGTCCCTATATATAATTGTAGTATAGTACACCCAAGGCCTCGGTCTTATTCGGAACCCTACAAGTCCCTTTAAAGGAACCCCCAGTAAAGGAACCCTTGAAGGAACCCTATAAGTCCCTTTAAAGGAACTCTTGAAGGGACCCTGTAAATCCCTGCAAAGTGAACTGTGTAGGGCCGGTCGATAGTCAGTTGACTCTGAAACTGGCAACATCATGGTCGTCAGCCTCGGATTGAGGTCTGTTGCTCTTTAGTCGAGCATACTTGGAGGATCATGGGACTTAGTAAGTAAGGTCATAAGTAGGTTATAATTAGGATAACCCCACTTAGGGGACTTATAACCCTAATTATAACCTACTCACTAAGTCCCATGACCCTCTAAGTAGCTATCAACCTCGCCCCCTCCCCTCAGAACAAAGCAAGCAAGCCAAAACTAATCTCACGATTGAGGAACCTGTGTTCAAACTGTGTGAAAACCTTACGGGTTCCTGTCAGGAACCCTATAAGTTCCCTTCAAAAGAACCCTAGTCTGCTTATTGCGGTCCCGAGACCAGTCATACCCGGCCTTACAGTCTTGTTTTTTAATGTCTAGTTCCGCCGGAAGTAATTCCTTAGGGGTACTTAGAAATAAATTTCAATTTTGAGTTATTATAATCCCTAAGAAACAGCTGAAATTATAGATTCCTCTCCCTACAGCATTACTGCACGGTTCAGGGTTTAGGCACTTACTCTAGATCCTCAATCCCAAGCCCGAGGAAACCAAAATCACCGAATTGCAATTGCTATGCGACGCCAAAACCCTAAGCGCCAAACTTGCACCATGATTCCTAAGCCTTACATCCCGAGCCAATACCGCTAGACTATATAAGCCTTGGTTTAGCGTCTAGGTGTATTTGGGTGTAGTTCAGCGTTTGAATGTTCATGAGGGTTCAGGGTTTAGGGTTGCAGATGCATAAGAGAATGGCTTTTGACAAATGGCCGAAACATACCTCAACATAAAACTATAAATATACCCCAGACCCTAAACCCTGTAAACCCCAAACCCTAAGCCCCCAGCGCAAAATGTTCAACAAGCCCCAGGCTCATATGCCCCGAATACCTGCTACCACGGGCGATTAGGGCTCTGGTAAAGGGCCCTGGTAAACCCCTAAACCTGAAAAACCTAAACCCTTAAACCCTAAACCCATAAACCCTAAACCCCTGAACCGTGACCCCTAAACCCTAAACCCTAAAGGACAAAAACAACCTTAAACCCCTAAACTGATAAGTGCGCTGATCGAGCCGAGGCCGTCAGCTGAGGAGGTCCGGCTACCCAGAAAGAGTGACAGCCCGACACCCCCAACAAAATTTACAGTTATAAGGGTTCCTTCAAGGGTCCCTTTAAAGGGATCTATAGGGATTCTATAAGGGTACAGGGTTTGGGGTTTACTTGGAGGTTCATGGGTAGTTATAAGTGGGGTTATAAGTAGGGTAACTATAGATTTAACCCATATTAGGGGCCTTATAACCCTACTTATAGCTGCGCATGAACGTCCAAGAAATAATTACCAATACTCTTTGGGGGGTTCCTTATGAGAAAAACTAGAGTGCAATGGGCCCAAAACCCTTTCTAATTATTAAGGCCCCTGCATTAGTGTTTACAGGGTTGGTGGCTTTTGAGATTTACAGTAATGGTCTAGGTGGTTGTATTGGGTTGCTATCGGGTTTACCATTTTAAAAATAATTAGGGGTCTCCGAAACCCACGATTTGAAGTTTAAGATCCCTTGTCCAGAATCGCTACGAGCAGCCCCTTATCATCTCCAAGAGTATCCTTGACAGTCATTGTACCCAATACCCCAGGAGTTCGACTATGTAATATAGCGGCCGAACCACTTCTAGCAGCATCCCTAATCGTTGTTATGTGCCTGTACTACCACCTCATTCAGGAATACAACTTAAAGCATCGGGGCCTTGATAATTATACAATAGTTTAAGCTCTATTCGTTGTTTAAGGGGTATTGGGCTCTCTGGGTTTAAGGTCTTCAACACAAACTCCTGCAATCCGAAAACCCCTGAGTCAAGAAATCCACAATCAGTTACAGAGGGACCCTTTTTGAAGTTCTGAGATTCGGGACTTTGAAGTGACCAGGGAGGACAAATACAGACATTTTTTCGTAATGGTTCCTTTAGGGGATAGGTCAAAAAACAAAGTCCTCAGGTATGGTGGTGGTAGTGCTCTTGTACTAGAGCAAACCCTAAACCCTAAACCCTGAACTCAGACCTGCCCACAAACCCAACCTCATTCCTGAAATCAAGGCCCAACCCTTATACAGCAGGCTAGGGTTTAGGGTTTGGGGTTTAGGGTTTAGGGGGCTAAAGCCCTTAACCTTGATAGCCCATTAGTAGCCATGACACGCCGCGTCTCTATTCAACATCAGCATGCAGGCTCATGGACAATCCGGACAATGCCTACATCCGATGTGTAGGTGCGATGTGCACAGGTTTCGGAGTTTGATACACGTTTAGGGTTTAGGGTTTAGGGTGCAGCGTTACTTGCTGAGCGACTGTAGGGCTTTGGAGTTTGGCTGAGCATACTTCAGGAGAGATGTCAACAAAGCTTACCACATTACCCACCAGCGTTAGAGTCGGATGCTATCGTTTTATGAATGCAAGCGACGTTTGTCCAGGGCTGTGGGCTTTGCATCTGGGAGTTAACGAAGAAGAAGCTACAGTAAACCCCATAAAGTTGGAAACCGGATTAAGGCCAAATAGTGCTGGGACTCCTTATTATGCATTACTCTTTACTTGGAGGGTCGGGGGACTTAGTCAGTAGGTAGTAACTAGACATATAAGTACCCTAAAAGGGACCCTAATTGGATTTCTGGTACTTATAAGTCCTACTAAGTCCCCTGACCCTCCAAGTAGGATTGAGGCTATTGGGTTTCCAACGTTTGGGCTTCTACTGTACATCGAAGACAATCGGTAACTTCCGGTTGAGGCTTTGGGGTGGAGTCGCGGGGTTGTGTGCTGAGACCTCGTGTGCTACTTAAAGGATCATGGGACTTAGTAGTTAGGGATATTAACAAGGTAACTATAGTTATAATTTTATAACTAGTTATAACTCCAATTAAGGTACTTATAACCTTACTTACTAAGTCCCATGAGCCTTTAAGTAAGCCCTGAGCCCTAAACCCTGCCTCATTAGCCGCAAAGCGTAGAGTCGAACTTCATGTGTTTCTTTTTGTAAGTCCAAGGAATCCCGGCGAAAGCACTCTTGCAAATCTCACCGCAAAAGTCATCCGCGGCTGCCCTAGAACTATTAGTAAGGCTCGATCCGATCCGCGGCTGCCATAGCTGCCGCCCGAGAAGCTCCCCCAAAAAATAGTAGGCAAGACGCACATCACCGAGCATCTATGGGGGCGGTGGTTAGCATCTCTGCTGGCCTTTTGAGGCTTTTACCAGCACCCCCCCCAAGGGCCCTTTTGTGGAGCCCTAATGTCCCTTAGTAGTGGGTAATTGGGGTACATTGGAGGGTAGTTGGGGGGGGGGTCTGGGTAGATAGTTGTCTAATATTCGCCTTCGAATTTTGGGTTATGAAGGCTTTTCGATACGTTTCTAAATGTTGTCCTTGTTTTGGGTTATGGCTTTTCGATACTCTTTTTGAGTTAGGCTGCTTCCCCTTATTTTGGGTTGTGGCTTCTTTTTATTCGGTTTTGATCTGCGAAATCCCCGAGCTGCTGGTGATTGTGCCGACGCATCGTTTGACAAGGCCCCCCCGAACCGTTCAACCACAAACACCGCGACTGGAAATGCAGTCAAACGTACCATAACACCTGTTGTTCCCTAGACCCCAAACTCAAGACCCAACCGTACCACAACACCTATCATATTTCAGAGCTCAATCGTGCCATGCTCACGGCAGATTTCACACGAACACCGCTGCATGTCGCGCCAGGTTTCCTTTTCGTTCGGTTCGGGCTGGCACCCGATTCGCCCTCCCGACGATGCTTCCACAGGGCTCTGGCTAAGGAGTCTAATCAAGTTACCATAATTATGGGATCTCTTGTAATCTTGCTAAGAGCTAAGGAGTTGTAGTGATTTATAGTTGACTTGCTAAGGGCTAAGGAGTCTAGTTTAAGTTAGCATAATAGGGATCTATGGTAAATATCACGCTCTCCTGGTCATGGCGACTTAGTTAAACTCTTTGACCATCAAACTCTTCTAGAATCCTTGTAGGAACCCTTATGAAGCCCCTATCGACCCCTTAAAGAAGAACCCAGTCTTAAAGTGTCACTAGGCTCCTCAGCAGTGCCCTTTTGCCCTCTTTCAGTTTAAGACCCCCTCTTGAAATTTAAGACTAAATACCAACACTGGGAAACCTCGAAGACCAGGGCTTCAAAAAATAGGGTAATGTAGAAGCCTAAATAAGTGCCGTTGTTATTTCTCAGATTCCTTGGGATATCTATACTATTGAGGAGCCCTAGGCCCGATTCCAAATATTAAGGCTCCGACATTACTTGGAGGGTCTTTAGGGGGCTTAGTAAGTAGGTAGTAAGTAGACTTGTAAGTATCCCAACGGACCCCATTTGGGATTGTGGTACTTATAAGTCCACAAAATAGCCAGTTACTCGTAAACCCGTAACCACTAAACCCCTCAGTTCTAATCAGACCGTAGTCTCCTATACCCTTATAGATCCCTTATAGTAACCCTTATAGACTATAGACCCCTTTAGAGGACCCCTAAAATAAGGGCTCCAACATTGCATTAGACCCTACTTGGAGGGTCGGGGGACTTAGTAACTGGTTATTTTAGGGACTTATAAGTACCATAACCCCAATTAGGGTCCCTGTTAGGGTACTTGTAAGTCTACTTACTACCTACTTACTAAGTCCCCCGACCCTCCAAGTAGTCTCCAGGAGCAGACCCTGTCCCCGAGCATTTCACCCGAAAGCCCCAGACCTCGGAGACGAGCCTTAAACCCTAAACGCCTTAGGGTTTATAGGGTTTATAGGGTTTAGGGATTTAGGGGTTTAGGGTTTAGGGATTTAGGGGTTTAGGGGTTTAGGGTTTAGGGTTTAGGGATTTAGGGGTTTAGGGTTTAGGGATTAGGGATTTAGGGGTTTAGGGTTTAGGGCTGAACTCTAAGGCCCTGAACAGCAGCGTTACGCCCTAAACCCTAAACTTTTGCGTTAGAGTCTAGCCTCTAAACCCTAAGCCTTATCCTTGAACCCTAAACCCTGAGCTTTAGCCTTTAACCCTAAATCTTCGGGCAGCTGCGGCAGTCTTTGGAACATGGCTTGGGTGGGTTAAGTTAGTTGAAGAGCGAGCGAGTGGGAACAACGGATTAACAAGTATGATGTTTGAGGTTGTCGAAACCATTTGTACTGGCAGAGGTCGTCGTCATTGTCGCCGTCATCGCATCCTCAGTTGCTGCTGCAGCAGTAACCGGGTAGCCGACATAGAAGCTTATTTGTCACCTCTTGCGGTTTATCGTCAATCAGGATTCCCACTCGCTGCCCAGCTGTATTCGTGTTATGAATGTGACACGATGCGGCATGCTGACTCAATAAAATGACACTGGAACTCGTACAGATCGAGTAGAGACAGGGCAGGTCTACCCTGGAACCGAAGCTGTGACAGAGCCCTGAGGCTCAAAGGTTAACAGTGCACAAGGTGTATTCTGCACGGACACATCGTTGATGACGATGTTGGACAGGGGCTCGAGGTTTTGGCATTCAGAACTTCGGTGTTTTTTGGGATCCCTGTTGTATCTACCTCGCTATGGCGCAAGCCAGCGGCCAGAGCTTGCTGGATGCCTCATCAGCGCCGCCCAAGCCCAGTAGCTGAGCCAAACTTGGTACTATGGGTCCTCGTCATTATCTGGATCAGGGTCTTGGGGTACATTCTAGTACAGTTAGAATAATAGACCCAAAGGAATACTATTGGTACTTCGCAGGCTTCTCTATCATCTCCACTACTGCTCCTGCTGCTCCGAAGTTCTGTTTACGATCTTCGTTTTACTTCGGTATTCGTCTCTGTTGGTCCCACTACTCTTCTGAGCGCTGCTAACTAGATACATAGTACTTAGCTGTTAATATCTGTATTCGGAAAATGGTTTTTGCTGAAATTCATGTTCATGTGCAGCCTTATATAGTCTTACACCGGCTGGTCAGAGCGTCCAGTGACCGTTATGATGGTGATGCTGCTGCTGTCGATGATGATAGTGAGGCAGTTGGACAAGGCGATGGTTTGTTGAAGTTGTGAAAGTGGCGATGTCATCCATGATGAGGATGATGATGGAAAGGATGGGTAAGATGATGCTTCCGGTGAGTGTCGTTGTTGATAAAAAATGACACTGAGACTGATAATGGCTATCATGTCCATGCTGACCATGAAAATATCTGTTTGATGTTCTGCAATGACGAGGTGGGTTCTTCACCCAAAGGCTATATATATATATACACATACTTATACCCTAAAGCACCCATACAGGAACCCTTCAAGGCCCAAGCATATACTATATGGGTACATGGAGCCTTAGGGTACGGGAGGAGGAGGAGGAGAAGGAGGAGGGGGAGGAGGAGGAGGAGGAGCTGCGCAGAGTTGACGGTTTCGGCAGGAAGGAGAGGCAGGAGAATGACGAGAACTTAGCAGCTGAGTAGGTAACCTTTAAACTTTAACCTTTTGGGGTTTATATAATCCTACCATCATTCAAAGGGTTAACCTTTTTTGGGCTAGGATACTCAGCCCCTAAGAGTTAGACTCTGAGGACGACGATGATGTCAATGATGCCGCTGCTGACGGTGCTGGTTCTTTTCCGGAAGTAGGTTGATGTTGTTTATGAAGAAGCGTTTCATTGTGGTCGTCACGGTTATGACTACAACGACGACCATATTGGTACATCTCTGTCAGCTTTTGTCATTTACTTTGTTGTCTTCAGTGCCTGGCAGAACCCACAAAATTTCCATGTTACGACCATGAACATGAAATGCTTGAACCGTAGACCCGAAGATGCCCCAATCATAGGGACCCTCAGGAGGGTAGAAGGAGGGGGCGTAGGGGGCCGTAATGCCCATAATGAGGATCTAATACGGCCTATTTAAGGCAGTATAGTGCCCTACCCCCGACCCCTATAAGGGTCCCTATGACCTAAGGATGGTAAACCTGAAAACAGAGATCTTTGTCGAGGTCGACAGAGACAACCGTTTGCAGCAGAAGCACTACGAAGAAGAATAGACGACATGGATTTTCAGGCAGGCGCTATAAACCCGAAACCCTACTATGATCGGCTTTTGTGCGGTTTTCGAGTTTTAACTGGAGAGGTTCTGTGCGCCGTAGGCCTGCATCGTGCAGTGAAGCCTTGGGCCCTCAAACTCTAAAACCCTAAGAACCCACAACCCGAAAAGCCTAAACCCCAAAGCCCTGAACCCTAAAAACCTAAAGCCTGAACCCATGGCGCGATAGAGAACGTGAACTTCCCAGGTTGGGCGTCGGGTTCAGTGGTTTAGTGTTTTAGGGCCTGAGTGAGAATCCATGTCGCTCCTTTTTAACAAAAGCGAACAGAAGGAAAAAGGGTACCCTCGTTCTTAGGGGGATATTGGGGGACCCGAACCGCCACCCTTCATCTTGGGCATAAGGTTTCCTGAACTGTAAGCCCAAAACCCCGAAACCCTAGACCCTGAACGTGTAGAGTTCAGAGGTTTGAGGTCTAGAAACATTGAGGGTTTAGAGCTTTTGGTGTCTAAGATTTTGACGTCAGGGTCTGGAATCCCGAAACATCTCAGGCAGTCTATCCGAGAGGATCACCTCTGGCCTCACCTTTTGCGTGAGTGCACCGCTGCTAATGGGATTCTGATGCTTGCCGACGATGCTGAGTGTTGTGCTGCTTGGCTGGTTAATTTGAGGTTATCCGGTCAGGTTTGGCCCTTGAATCGCCCTCGTTTTGTGGCTGTGTTCATGTGCCATATGATCAAGCAGATGCGTGGGGTTTTGTGCATGGCCATCAGATTCCCAGAGGCTCCAGAACCCCATAACTATGGAATATACCTTAAACTATAATAGGGGTCCTCATATGATTCAAGGTATATTCCTTAGTTAAGGGGCTTTGGAGTCTCTGGGTTTCTCATCTTCTAGTGCAAGCTGCGGCGCTGCGGGTACTCGGGCTTGTGTTCTTGATGCTGGAGAATATCACCGGACTTTTTGTGCAGTGTGAAGAGGAAGACAGGTGTTCACAATGTGGACTCAGTAAGTAGGTTATAAGTGGAATTAGAAGTACCCTAAGTGGAGTTACCTCAACTATAACCATACTTATACCCGACTTACTGAGTCCCCTGGGCCTCCAAGTAGTCCCTGCATGCGGCCGGGCCCGGCCGGGCTTACGTAAATATCATGCAGATGCAGCTCACGTATATAATTCCACAGCTCGTCAAACCCATGCCGAAACCCTAACCCTAGGCCGTACTATAGGGGCCTAAATAATTACCATGCAGTACTATTTTGGGGGTTCCTTTCTATTTATCCAAGCCCCTACATTAGTGCATCCGAGTCCCATTGTTAAGCCGCAGCGAGGTTAGGCATGGCCTTTAGCAATGATGTGGTCTTCCTGAGCCATCAGCTCCAGTTTGCACTGCTGCTGACCGTCTTAGCTTGCCTCTTGGCAGATCATGGGCTCCCGACGGCCACCGAAAGTGTTCGTGGCAAATTTCCCGTTTTGTTAGCTGGCTATGTTTTTGATTAGTTAGGGTCCTTTATTACCGCAACTCTGAACTTCAACTTTTGGTAACCGGGAAATCGGAAACACTAGCTGCAATGGAGAGATACAGGGTGTTGGTATGGTGCAGTGTTTTGGGCTGGATGGCTGGATAAGTAGAACCAAGATCTTACTTGGAGGGTCAGGGGACCTAGTAAGTAGGTAGTAAGTAGACTTATAAGTATCCTTAGAAGGGACCCTAATTGGGGTTTACTTGTAAGGCTATAAAATAACAAGTTACT